AAGTGTGACAAGCAGTAGCAGTTCCAACTCTAAAACAAATGGTGTGATATCGTGCATTGTAGGTGAAGCTCGACCCCTTACGCAGGCAGAGATGTCCTCACTCAGACACCTCCTACCACACACACCACGTAAGTCACTGGACTCAATTGTAGATTTATAATAAAGCAGTTTACTTATTATTCAATTCCTCTGTGCAGTCTACAACAGTTCCAATTTGGACATGTATACCTGTCCCAGAGTTAGGATGGGGTCTCTTCAGCTAGAACCAGGATAATAATGCTGTAGATTGATATTGACCTGAAGTTGCATGTCACAAATATTTCACTCTAAAAATACTTGTGTGGTATGATTAATTTATTTTGCTTTGTATATTCAGATATTTCTTTTCAACTCCAGTCTCTCTCTCTCATATTTGTAGGTAAACATCATCCCCTCTATTTTAAATTTCTTGGAGCTTCACCTCCTGTGATAACCCTTGCCCTGTGTTGTTTTATGTGTCCCTTGTGAGGTGTACTGCACATAAGAATATTTGATGGTGTGTGAAATGCAGTAAAAATTTGACATTTGACTTTAGAAAGCTTTTGTTTGCTTGTTATGTAGCAGATCATGAGTAATGCAAATTTAACTTTTAATTATGATAATATATAATTAGATATCATTATAATTATAATATTTCTGTAAGTCAAGTTACTTTAATTTGTTGTGATAAGGGAGTGGGCAATTGTGAGAAAGGGGTTTATTTGAAAACAAATTCTAGGCTGAGTTACTATATCTGGCAGCACTTTGGTAAACTTTTACACTTATATTCATCAAATCTGCTAAATCATGGCATGAAATATAATCCATACTGTTTTTTTTTTTTTTGTTTTTTCTTTCTTTCTTTTCTCTTCTTTTCCTTTTGCATTTTCAATATATTTTGATGGAATGCATGAAAATGTAATGGCTCTGGGTAACGTACGGTACCGCTCAGCCCCATGATAGCCTGGGTGGCACTCCAGCGAGCCTCTGCTCTTTGAAGAGAAAGGGTGTGTTCTTGCCAGCATACGAGGAAACAATAGGCTATTCCAAAATGCCAAAGTTTTCTGGGAGAAAGAGGCAACTTTCCATTGCGAGACACAAGAGGAAATTAGTAGAAAGCAAGCGGGAAAAAGAACTGAGGCTTGAGGACGCAGCTGTAGTGCCTCCCAGAGCTGCCCAGAGATCTGTGACTCCTTCCCATTGCTAATACCTGAAAGTGGGGGAGAACCGGGAGCCTGAAATAAAAAGAGCTTTCAAACATTTAGTGAGTCCAGCTTGTTTGTAATTAGGATAAATTGATATAAAAAAGGATAGAATATTGCATCTAATGATGTAAAGAAACTGACCTTATAGATAAGGCAAGCAGTCTTCAAATGAATTCACAACTTTAAAGGTTAAACATCTCAAAGCATGATTTTTTTCACCTTTGAAATTATCTGTAAGAGGTATGAACCTCCTATATTGATACTGGTGGGCAGATTGATACTTGTATAAGGCTTTAATCTTTATTCTAAGAGTTGACACACAAGTAGAAAGAAACACGATATGAGCGGGACTTGTCAGTGCTGGGTGGTTCCTGCAGCTGTCCAACCTGGAGAGGGGGAGGGTGCAGGTGGTAATGAGGAAAGGCAGGGTCACTGTCTGACTCTCTCTCTGCTGACCAAATGAGAGAGTGAGAGAAAAAGGGTCACAGTGACTGTGCCCATTTATCTGACCCATCCTAGCAGAAGCAGTGGGAGCTTGGCTTGGGTTTATAATTAGAAGCCTAGTAGGGCATGGAGCTCTTGTGGAACCACGTTGCTTGGTTTTTTAAGCATGCGACTGCATGACTTGGATTTATAGCTTATATAGCATGCTATATGCATGCTACATTATCTCCTCAGCCATTTATGCATCAATTTCAATGAAACAAAGACTCATCTAAATAGGAAGGCTGGTAGTTTACTGTAACAGTGCAATATTTTCAGTTATTAAAGTTATTTAATTAGCCTTTTTTCCTCTCTCTCTCTATGGCTCAGCAAAGAAAAAAATCATTTTCGACAAATTAAACCAGATTTTAAAAATGAATTATGTTACTCAATAATGATCTTTTTTTCATGTGAAGCACATGACTACAAAAAAAACTATTTTATTTTATTTATTTATTTTTATTAATATATATATTTTTTTATTATTATTATTTTATTTTTATTTTATTTTTTTTTTTGTGTGTGTGATTTTGGAGGGAGGAAGAAGGGGGGGGAGGGTAACTTCTGCATGTCATTTCTTATTCATATAGTGGTCTTAACTTCTCATGATATTTTCATCACACAATCAATAATGACAATTTTTCCCTCCAAACCAGCCAATCCCCTTAATACCCAAGTCTGAGTGACTTCTCTAATTCTGCTGTGCTTCCTGTTGTGAAATTTGCCTCGAGAAAGAATATCATTCTCCTAATAAGAGTATAAGTAGTATTCAAGTTGTCCAATTGCTTTATTTCTTAAAAAAAAAAAAGAGAGACTTTTGCACAATCTCCAGCAGGATAATTCCACAAACAACACAGAGAGATTCTCTGAATGTTTCATAAGGAGTGTCTTCATGGTAGTTTTTATGGGCTGCCAACCAGAAACATCCCAGGCCTAACCTCTGGGTTTTATGTAGGTGGCCCATTCAGAACTGTTGTTGAGCGTTCATATTAAAATTTTCTTTACAATTAGTGATACTAAGAGGAAAAGTGTTGGGTATTATCTTGATATTCAAAGCTCTATTTCCATCCTATCATTGTAATACAAGTTATTTCTCTTTTAGGTCTGAGTGAGCCCGTTAGCAGAAGTTCAGGTCCAGCCCCAAATGTTGCAGTAGTGGTTAGCAGAAGCAACAACGACAGATTTAGTCCTTTATTTTCACCACGGTCTCCAAGTGGACGAAGTTTCCCCATCAGTCCTCTGGGTCCTCCTTCCTCAAATCATCCGCAACCACCACCCAATCTGACGATACCTCCAAGCCCTCTCCCTCCTCACCTCTTATCCTCCCATCTTTCTGCTCCTTTGTCCCCCCGTCTGCCTCCGTCTTCTTCACGACTGCCTTCATCTTTTCCTCGCCTCCCTCCAAGCTCCTCACATTCACTGTCAGGGAGTTCAATGATACCTCCATTTGGTAGCTTTTCAAATACTGTCCCATCTCAGCAAAGAGGGCCTCCTCCTCCTGCTCCACCAACGGGCTCAAGAACGCGATGGGCTCCAGGGGTACACAGTCGTATTGTTCACAACATCAGCAGCCTGCACCACTTGGCAGCAGCATCAAACGGTCAAGATGATTCAGATGATGGAGCTGTCCAAGACCCGGGGGAAAATGATTCCTCTGAAGGCATTATCAATCCTTTGGCAGGACCTTCTCAACTGTCTCAGGCCCCTTTTCACTTGGTTGTTAGGACTAGAGGAAGATCCAGGTCTGAGATGAGAAGAAGACTAACGCGACGCTGAGATTCAACAGAATTAAAAATATACTAGTAACATTCAGTGGAATAATTTTACGCTTACCGATATACTTAGTTTTTTTCAGTGTCAGTAAGATTTTGTATGATCACAAATTTTAATCTAATATAGCAGCTAAGTAAAGGTATGATAACATATACTGCCTTTTTAAACTTTTTTTTTTCTTTTTATATATTTACTTTTTACTAAAATTATAGAAAACAATTTTAGAAGTTAACCTTATTGTATGAAACAATAGATGAATATATCTTAGTTTTATACTGTAATTTACAACTGATTTCTAATTAATATATCTTAATGTACCTGGCCAGAGATTCATAATTACATGTGAGAGTAACATCACCTTTTCTTAATTTAAACATTATATGAATGAATTCTTGTGTGTGTTTAAAATATTTGTATGGATGTAAGATGTATTTAAGTTGTCAAGATATATATATATAAATTTATGGGATAACTGTGATATATTTTGTGCTCTCTAGTTGATAACACTAATTATCATGGTTTTTGTAATGTATGTTTAGACTTGGAGGGCAAATATTTGTTATATATACTGTGTATGTATTTTTGTTTTGTTTGGAAAAGCTGAATAGTAGCTTCCTTTTTATGAAATATTGTATATAGTAACAAAAAAAAGAAAAAAAAAAAAAAAAAGAATTTGATAAATGAATTGTATGTCTTGCAGCTTTTGTATATTTAACTGTGATAATACTAGCAGCTTGGTTATTTTAAGTATATTATAGAATTATTTGTACTCAAAATATTAGGTACTGACTATTTTCCTCTTTGACATAGTTTATAATTATTCTATAATGCAAATAAAACCACCCACTTTATTGTTGTTTCTTTACCACCTTTGCAAAATTCTTGTACATAAAATAGTTATCTAAGAGGTTTTGCTGTATTGAGAATAGCATGAATTCTGATGGTTCGCTAAGACTTTCTCTGAATTTTTTTACCCATTGCCCTGTACTCAGTATAATTCTTGCTTTCCCCCTAGCAAGAATAAGTGATTTGGTGAAAGCCATACCCTACTTTTGAAAGTGTAAGGGGAAAAAAAAATAATGGTGGAAAAAAAAACCTCTATTACCATGGATTTCACAGAGGAAAAAGGGGAGAAGACCAGGCAAAATTGGTCAAGGTGAGGGCTGAGGTCCAAGGTGGGTGTGATCCCCCACATTGGGCCTCAGTCTCCTCGTCAGGCCCTCCCACAGCAACGAGCAAAGGAGTGGGGGTTCTCAGTACTTACCTAATATTATAGAATATGCTATTGCTTCAAATTTCATTTCTGTACTAACAACGCTGATTATGTTCATGGGAAGGATCGATTTTTAAAAGACCAATATGGAACCACTGGCAACGGTTGAAGGTAAAGTTATAATAATGTTTAAAACAAATATATTTTATAATAAATATATATTAGCACTCCTAATCTTATACTTAAGTTTTATCACTGCATAAAAACTACTACATACAACATGAAAAAACCAGGGGAATAAAAACAAATTAAACAAAAGATCTCTTTATTGAGTTTCTAAACAATTAACAAATTGTCATTTTGTGGTTCATTGTATAAAACAGTTCCAAAGGTTCAATATATAAAATGCTAAGAAAAATACTGACAACTTCAAAAACAAGTTACTACAAAGTTCACATAATGCAATGAGAACAACTTTTGTTTCCACTTAGATAAAAAAAAAAATCCTTCTTAATTTTTTTTTGTTTTGTTTTGTTTTGCACCAAGATATGAAATATTACAAATTACAGTTAAAACCCCTGACAAGGAAAGGCAACTTTGGTGATTTGAGCTAATTATCACATGCACAATGCACTGAATTGGTAGAATTTTAGGAAAATGTTAGCATACACACCAGCATACAAGCAAAGTAAGATGGAGCATAATTTCAATGTTGCTTTTCTTGTTTTCTTCTTTGTAACAGGACAAGCTTGGCCTCCAGTTTTACTTCTAAATGCTGACTTAGTTGAATCCGACCTGAGCAGGTTTGCACATCAGCTGCCCACTATAGGACATTTAAAATCACCACAGCACTTTTATCCCAAAGTGCTATTAACAGGAAGACATGACTAATTCAGTACAATACCATTTCCTTTTGCATATACAAATTCAGGGTTTCAATGCACTGCCAATAAATCAGTCAACATAACATTAGTTGACTGCATATGATACATACAACAGAAATGTCCATCAAATTCAACATTCAATTTAAACTGATGTTATGTGGAAATTGCACAGTCCACAATTCTGTGCTTTGAAATACCCCACTCCCCCAAAAAAGGAGAAACTTTTAAACATTTAGTCACTGGGCAATACCTAAAATAATAATTTCCTTATTCTCTGTACCACACACAAAAAAAGATAAGGAGATATCTTTGTAATATGGTTCACAGGACTACAGAGATTTTATGATCGTAAAACTCTTCCTCTTTAATTCACAGTTATAAATTGTCATCATGGGCACAAAAAAGAAATATACATATCCCTCATAACAAACTCTTACAAAGACCAGTTAAGAAAACATATTTTGGACTGTGGCTGCATTCAACATTTAGTATAAAACTTCCACTGTATATTAGTCTTTAAAAAATTAATCTGGGATATACAAAAGTTTATTGCACTGACTAAGCACTAGCTATCCTCTGGACAACATCTCTCATTTTAGGAAGATTAAAGCACTACCAGTATCTGGTGATGTGTTTCCTAGGTATCACGAGTGCTATATAGGAATATTTGGGCATTTCCTGGGCATGAGGGGTGCTATAAATTAATATTTGCTTTTAGGGTTCTCAACTCAATGCTTGGGATCTGAAACCAATGACTGGCTATACAAAATACTTGTAAATCATCAGTTTCATGACTGGAACACAGGTTAAGTGCTCTAATAAACAAACCATGCCCTTTCTCAGGTAAAGCCCAACTAAGTCAACAATTGACACACAAAGAACCCCTTCCCTTCCCTAGACTGAACGTTTACTATCTAAAGCAACTCCAGTGTGGTAACTTCTTTTGATATACAGATATACCTTGTTTATAACTTGTACATTTTGCAACTAGACCCTTCTTTCCCAGCATAAAAAAAAAAAAAAAAAAAAGTTTACTGTGAATTGTTAAACATTTTTTCCATGGGCTGTAAGAAAATATTCTTGATGTAGCCTAAATTGTAACATTTGGATAACAAAAGTGTAGCAAACAGACTTCTTGGCAACCAAATATTTAGAATGAGATTCATGCAAGAACAAAAAGACTGACCATGACTGAGTGAAAACAATTGGTCCAAGCAAAAGCTTGCCAACACTAAAGTAAAACTACCTGGGAAGCTTTCCACTCCAGAAAAGTCCTTGTGCATAGCAACATGGACATCAAACAAGATTCATCACCATACCATATGGTCACCCTGTCATGGTTGCTAAAAAATGGAGGAGGGAGAAGTATCTTGGAAGAAACAAACTTCTAAAATTTACATGTCAACCCCTTTGTCACAGCATTATTCACAGTTATCACTCCTCTTAAATAATCCAAAACCAACGCTTGTCCACTGTGAGCACAATGTATATCAGGTAAGGCACATCATCAGTGAATACGACTAACCTCAGGAGTAACATTGCCGAGCAACCTAATGCAAAACTTGCGATGAAGATACTCTCCATGATACTGAACTGAACTGACCTAGAGAATTCATCTTGCCTTCCCTTACTGAAATTCCCCCAAACAACCAATAAAGAAGCTGCTTTCACATTTGTTTGCAGTTGGTAAATATTCATTACTGAATGATTTTCCTTCCTGTCTCCTTTTTGACATTCCTAATTCTCCACATTTAGACTGTAAACACACATGCACACACACACAAACATACATACAAAGAGTTGTGAATAAAATTATAAGGTGTTGTGAAAAAGTATAAAAGGAGAAGCATCATGAAGAGGGAGAAATAAAGTAAAGCAGAAAAGAAAAGGATAGAAAAAGCTAAGCAACCAACTAGCAAGTCATAATTCTCATACAAGAAAAGATCAAGGAGCTCAGAAAACTAAAACCCGATGTGGTAACGAGGAGAACACTTGGTGCTGGGGGAAAGACAACTGACGCTGGGGAAAGTAAAGAGGGAGAGGCTGACTAAGAGTTGCATTATTCACTCAGCCAACAGAATATCTAAATTTATCTTAGGTAAATATAGAGGCAGCCAAATGGTAACTGTACCACAAGATTTACACCATACAAGGAAAGCTAAATCTATCAAATATACAGTTTCCTACTGCTATTAAATGCCTATAAAACAACTTACAGAGCTAAGAGAAACCAAATTGGTTATCTGGAGCAATAAATCAGAAAAGATTACTGAGTTTGTGCATTGCAATAATACAAAAACTAACTATGAGGTGCTTAAATACAAATACATACAATATGCTTACAAAAGTATAAACTTATCACTTATTTACTTCAACTGACAATCAAATCACCAGCAACTTTCACCATCAAAACACTGGTATTTGTGTGATAACTAAACATATTTCTGAACAATCCAAGACCATTTCCTGTTTTCACAGCAAATCAAAAGGCATTAACACTGTACTACATTACTTAACTTGTATTTAGCATAGTTAAGTTACTGTGTGAAACTTCAATTTCTAGCACCTAAACAGTTGCAGTAATATTCCTTTTGGTAACCATACTGTGCTCTGTTATTTCTATATATCAACACATTTATATGTGGAAGTCACTGCTGTTATTAAATAACTGAAAATTAAACAAAATAAGGAACATTTCAATAAACTTTACATAATTTCCTAGTAATTCCCATCATTTTGAAACAAAATCTTACCTGAAAGTTCCACAGCAAAAAGTTTTGTGCTTCAAAATGTACTTTACCGAACTGACAATGGAATGCAAATGTAGTGCTGGTAAAAGTTCTTGTATACCAGCCTTTTTTATCCTTCCATCTTCTTGCTTTAATATCTCCATATATAATAAAAATTATACAATGAATTATAAGATCCAAGACATTCTCAAATGCAGTGAGTACCAAAATTATCCAGAAAATATCGACAACATTTCCTAAAACGAATCCTGTAACAAAATAAACACATTAGCTAATTTACAAATACAGAGGTACTGGGCCACTGTAATACCACAGCACAGTAGTTTGTTCTGCAAAACACGAAAAAATCTTTAAATGTCCAACACATTTGCTAACTAAATAACTGTAAAGTTTCCACAGCAGGTATAATCATAATATATTTGTTAATGGATAGGTAAATGTATCCTTGTATATGTGCATGGCCTATGTGTGAAGGGGTATAGTGTGTGGAATGTGAAATTTTATGGTGTGGGGAATGTGGATAGTATGGTGTGCATTGTGATATGGCATGGTGTTTGGTATGAAGCAGCACAGTGCATGGTGTTCAATGGTATGATTTACAGTGTGAAGTGTACACTGTTGTGATATGGTGCATATAGTTTAAGGTGGTATGGTATGGTGTGAGGGATGTGGGGTGTGATAGTGTAATGTGATGAGTGTAGTGTAACCATGTACACAAACATACATTATTTGAGTTCATCTATAATTTTCATCATATTGCAGTCAAGGATATATCATTACATATAAGTATTAGTTGTGCATATTCATCTGCAAAGTAAAATTTGGTTTGCATGATTTTACCAGCTCTGTACTGATATGTAAAAACACAAAAATCATGTTCAAAAGGCAATTAGTCCTATCTACAGCAATTCTTTTATGTTAAATGAATTTCAGAGCATTAATAGCAATTGCATTTCTATGTGAACTACAGGTTAAGACTTTGATTCAAAATCACTGGGTTGTTTTCAAAACCTAAATTCATCTACTAAAAGTCTGGCCTTTACAAAGGCAAAACGAGTTCCATCTGCCACTTGGCTTCATTGAAATAGTACCACCTTTGTTTCCTCATTAAAACTATTGGTAACATACAGATCACAAGAAACGGTAGTTTAATGCCAAGTATGAATCCCATGTGCTTACTGCAAACAAATTTTTTTTTTCACTATTTTTGTTTGATCAGGGGAAAAAAACTTATAACAAATAACTAAGTATAAAAACAACATCAAATAAAAAAAACATTCTGGTAGAATACAACTATCGACTCATCCATTCAACATCAACTATATAAAAAACACGGATAAATTTTGAGCATAAAAATACCAAAATAATAATCTTCATAGAACACAGTACAAAGATTATATCTTTATGTATAATTTTCTAAACATTTGCCAGAGTATTTGTTATTGGTTGCTGAATCACACAACACCAAGTATAAAGTCAGTTACTTACAACTTTAAGTACCTAAGCGAACAACAATACCTCAACACCTAGGCTCTTACATTTTATGTATAAAAACCTTATAAAATATCTTATTACAAACTTCTAAAAGTAGATTCTTTTCTCAATCTATCCTATCTAGATCAATCTTAAACTCTTTCAAGACAAGGCAAGTAATCACTGGTTAATTTGCAGTTGTTTGAACACGATACAAATGAATGAGTCTTGTACAAAAATTACTGATAAAACATGACATGCTTAAGGTATACAGATATAAACAAATTTGGAAACTGCCTAGGTGAAGAACTACTGGTAAATGCTTGGGCACATAACCACTGGGTAAAAACCTGGCCATACAACCATGACCTATCTTTATGATGCTTTTCACTGGTACAATATTCAATAACATTAAATGGACAAATACAGAATATCTCTGTAAATTTGACAATTTTCCATCACTACACTGTATTCAGAATTTGGCTACATATTTGGTTTTTCAAGTGGAAATGTACTATCACTGGTTCCATTCAATCGAATAAAAAAAATAAAGACTAAGTAGAAATATAGACGTATCTACTCAATACCACTAATTGGTAACAACGTAAGTGTTTAAAGAAAATGTGCAACACTAAATCTAGTTGGTGGTAACTTTCCCTCAACCTAATTTTATATAACAAAAACACAACCTTCTTCCAGATGGTTGGAAGATTAATCACCTAAACCTCTAGGTGGTTTGTTTGGTAACAATGATCAAACTGGCATAAACAAATATAAGTTGCTCCCTTTGGACCACATGCTATCTTCATGTGTACATAAAGGTGTTATATAACATCACATTGTGGGCAAAAACAGTATTCTGCCACCACCTGCATGCCTTTTGTTTCACTAAATCACAATAACCCTCAAACATACACACTCTGCTCAAGTATCAAAAATACTTGTAAGACATATTTCATGATTGCCTTTCTCGTCTCTAGACTGAGATCATTTTCGTGGTTTACCCAAATCTTTGTTAATGATTAACAATTTCAAATTTCAAAGTGTAAACAAGAAATAATGAAACAAAAATAAATACCATAAATAGGTTAGTATAAAAGCTCTTTCTAAGGCTTGCAGATACAACTGCCTGCTTCAAAAGGCTGTGTGAAAAGATTCTGCAAAAAGCAGAAATGGTAATACCTCCATTTCAATGCTTTCTTTCTAGAGTGGTTTGTTTTCTTAAATACAAGTACATCAATAAAAAAATATTTACATCAACCATCTGTCTTCATATTTCATTAAAGCAAAGTATTCCTCCAAGCTTGAGGACAATCAAGCATATTTGTGCAACAAAACATTCCATTTTCATCATACTCACACATACCTTAAGACACTTGGAAAAACTTATCACCCCACATGATAAGGAGCACAAGTCCTGCTAAGAAAGCTTACACACTGGGAAAATGACAAGAGCACCAGAGTTAGTCACAAAAAGTTGTCATAACTACTATCCAACGCTAGCAGATGACTTCAAACTGCCACAACAGACGAGAGTGGGAGTACATGAAGTTTCAAAAGCTACCAACACTGCAAAAGGCAATACTTGGTTCAACGGTTAAAGGAGTATCTGACGCTGCCAATGTGGCAGATCAGAGGGCACACTTGGTTTGGGTAACTTGAGCAAGAGATCTAATCTTGTGTCAAGACATAGCCTAAATGCGACTCGAGCATTACAGCAAAAGGAATCTGGAACACCAAGATAATTAGGTAGAGAGACATGCCATCACCCATTGCTTCTGACTGAGTTTCAGATGATAAAAACATAAGAAGCCTTTGAAGTCAAATAATAGTTCATTTAATCACTTCTAGAAGTGAAATTTGTTAATAATAATAATAATAATAATAATAATAATAATAATGATAATAATAATAATAATCACAATAATAGTAATAATAATAACTCATTATAATGATAAAGATAAATGTACAAATGAAAAAAAATGGCATTGTAATAACTTTTCTAAAAGAACCAAATATCAATCCATACCAATGCCAGATCATTAGGGAGGCATTATACATCTCTACTATTCAGTTCCAATATTTTCTGAAATGCATTCCTACACCAGACAATCCCAGTTTGGTACACAACTACCATATTCCTTATCTTTGGCATGGTTTATCATTTTGCCACATATATAGCAGTTGTAATGGTGACACAACTACCTGCCTATCTCCAGGTTTTCCTTGCTCTACATCGCAGCTTGTTCTTTGGCCTTGAAGTTCACTTGTCAAGCTTATCGATGACCATTCTTCTTGTGTTGGTACATGTCATATTTTGTACGAAACAATGCCCCACATGTGCATGAGAAAGGTTCTCTGCCTGGAAAAGTTAAGAAAAGCTTTTTTTAATAATAATCATTCAATCATATATATCTTCAGCAACTACATGATGACCTACTGGATTTTATTAGATTAGGTTAGTCCTCTTCGAGTACAGCTTGATCTAAGATCTGGCAAGATTAAGTACTGGCATGATGAGAATGGCTTAGTTAAGTACAGAAAAATAAGTTAACAAAACCAGTGATTACCTGATAAAACAAGGTAAGCTAAGAGAATAACAAATTTAATTGATATCTAAAATCTTTGGAAGACAAGCAAAGGAAAAAGAAAAGAGACAGAAGAAGGTTCTTTATTTTCTCTGTTTATCATTGTGATAAATGGATATCTACTGTTTGATGCAATTATCATAATCATCAGGCAAAATACAAGGATCAGATAAAGCACATAACCTGACTTTGTATGGTTGCAAATTGCATCCAAGAACAAAGAATACAAAAAATCCCACATGACAAAAAGCATCAAACCCCTGTCCCTTACTCAGTCACAAAAAAAGAACCTTTCAAATTTTCCATTCCACCTCTTGGTGTAGACACTGTCATTCTTTATATATGACATCTGGGTAAGTGCTTATGTTTCACAATGGGTTTCTTCCCTCCTCCATTTTTTTTTTTTTCCGTGCTGGGTGATTTTCGGAGTCCTATTTTTAGACACCTCTTCGGTGTTCCCAAAGTGTGAAACTTTTTTTCTACCCTTTATATCACATGCACCTCCTTCCCTCTTCCTCAACTTGGGGAGGCAAAAATGATGATGTATGTATCCCACATCCTTTGTGTTTTGCCTGTTCTGTATCTCCCTTTGCTATGTGTTTTCTCTACAGCCTCTGTGCAAGAACTATAGGTTCTCTGTCAGCTGTTGCTGTGGAATAGGAAGATGGGACATAGCCAGGGGGACAGGTGAATGAATAATCACTTCTTCAAGGAAGAGAAGAGAATGGGATAAGGTAATTTAACCATTCTCCGGTTTTCCTTTCCCTTCTCTTCCTCCACTGATATTTTTTCTCCTTTCTTCATTTGTGATTTGTATTGCTGGAGTTGCTGGTGCAGAAGGGTTGTAAAAAGGCAATGATACAACCCAGCACATCAGAGCAGCAAACTAACTCATTATTCAATTTTTGCCTCCCCAGGCTCATACAGATTTCTCCTCATGGGTTCAATGTTCCTTCCAGACCCTACATCAATGAAAAATCATAAATTAGACAGCATGCATGGTTCCCTAAGCAGAGGAGTCTTCTGTTACACTTCCCATACTTCATTCTTCCTTAGAGTCTCATGTTAGGTGCACGGAGTGGCTGGTGAGTACAACTCTGCACAACTGACAATGATCTTATCTTGCAAAAGCAGAGGTAATGGGGAGGGGGAGTGGGAGTTGCCAGGGTTGATTTTTCTTTTGTTTGTTGTCTTCCCTGATTTTAGGATGAACCACTCAAATACTATGATTGCATGAAGTCAACTCGGTTGAAATTTCCTATCCAGCTCTCATTTGTGTGTGTGAGGTAGGTGGTGCATGCATAGGAATACATGTTTTTCAAATTTGAGACAAATCATAAATTTACATAAAGCTAATTAAATAGCATATGACTAATTAACCTGTTGGATCCAGTTGTGTCACTGAAAATATGGGCAGTGGGTTACGTAATTAGCCAACATCCTGGCCGTGCAGTGTGTAGGCTGGACAAAGTTATTTTATGTAAATTTTTTTTAGCCTTTTTGCCATTTTCCAATGTCCATATTTGTCTTTTGATTTGCTTTATCCAGATGGTAGTAGCTTACTTTCCTTGCACAGACTCCATATCATTTCTCTATGTAGTAAATAATTCAGTGCAAGTATGGAAAATTTGCTCTTATGTGGCCTATATCTCAGTTTTTTGTAATACAACCTGCACCACTGGTCAAAGCGGTCAGGAATACGGTGCAAAGCATGGAAATGGCATCCTCCCTCAAGCCAGTGTGCTTCCAGCCACAGCTTACGCATGTTACATTCCACATTTGTATAATAATGCTAAAGCCCCCTTCTAAGTGCCAAATGAGTCAAATCACACTCCAAGAGGTTTGTGCACTCGTGGCAAGTCTTTTCCATCAATCTGGCCTTCTCTTGTGACAAGTTGGCATCACCCAGCCCACGGCCATTTTGCCATGTTAACATCACCCGGTCCTTGACGCAGATTTTTCCATGACGGGACCGTAACATTATCCAGAACGTAGGGGTTAAACCAAAGCTGGTCCAGTTAAGTAAGGTAAAGAGATATTAAGACTAAATAACCAAGGTCTAAGTAATTGGCAGTAGCCTGCATTAACCTGTTCTAGCAAATTAGAGAAAATCTTTTTTTTTTTTTTTTAAAGGGCATATAATTCTCAGTTAATAGTAAGAAAAATAACTGCATATGAAATTCATTCTACCTTCAGCATGCATGATGGCCATGTGTGTCCGCAAGGTGGCAGCATCTCGGTACATCCTTTTGCACGTCGGGCATGGTCTTGGCTCATGAAAGGCAAGCTTCCGTTGGTATTGTTCTGTTCAAAATCAAGAGATTAATAACTGTTAGTGGTTTCTCATAAACAAGCGACAGACTACTTTTACTTTCTTTTTGAACCTGGTACCTCCACAAATGTCCAACAGAGAATGAAAGAATGAAGGCTGAATGAAATTATATCTCTCCCCAACTTTAGATCCTGGCAAATGACAAAAGTTAGGTAGTCTCCTAGGATGGAGAGGGATTTTGCTAAAACTAAGATAATAACTATAACATATGACCAACAACTTCAGGATATTTAAACCCTTTTTTACGACTTGTGCTTCCTACATCAGCCTTTGTTATCCTCCACCTTTCAAAAACACAAGTTGGCCAGACAAATTATTTAAGGCCCTTTTTGTAGCATTTCCAAAATCCTTAACACTTTGATAAAAGATTGTCCTTTATGCACACAATATTGGAACTTGCTGAAAGATCTTTTCAGTTTGCATCAATTTGTACTCATCTACCTTGATACAATTTGATGCATTCAGGCCAGCCAATGGGAGTGTGATATTTTTTCAGATATGTTTCAGACAGGGATTTATATTTTCATTAATCACAAATTGCATCATAAGTTTCTGGGAAAAAAAAAAAAAAAAAAAATCTAAAGGTGCATAAAATCTTTTTGTACCTTTTTCGCAGTCCATCAAATCAATGTTCACACTATATGGGTATAATTTCAAGTCAATCATGATGTTGGATGGATGTCTTCCAAATCATTTACTATCTCTATGCTATAACATTAAAGGCTTAAAAATATCAAAAAGAAAAGGCTGAGTATGCTGATTTGTTGATGTAATCAAATCAATAAGTCAAGTAAATATCCGTGATCATTGGAATTATCATTTCTGATTCAGACAGAGCTGGATATATAAATGCAAAACCTTATGCAACCCACTTTTTCCATGAAGAATATACACAAAAACTTTTGATTGATATACATTTAAAGTTCCAAAGCCTTGCAAAGTGAAGATGTGCATAAATATAAGTGCAGAGAACTCTGTACTTTTTCCATTCTGTTTGAAGCTTCCACAATGTTTTGCTTATTTAAAATCTTACGCTAATACTTTAATGATTTTCTATAAATTATTTTATGTAAAATTATGAAAAATAACCTCCATTTTTCCATATTTTGTACGTCATTACAAACTTTGAAGTTATCGTGTTTTGTTGTAACCATGATACAACTTGTAATAATGTATTGAAGTGTCAGGAGTTTTGAGATGCTACAAAAAAGGCTTTTAACTGATCATATATAACATATAAAAGGATATTCCAAAAGAAATAAGAGGAAGGATATATCAATCTACTTGTTTGTATTTACAAATGTGTGTGTATGTGTATGCATGTGTATGCATGTGTGTGCATGTGTGTGTGTGCGTGTGCATGTGTGTGTGGTGCGTGTGTATGTGTATACATGTGTAACATCACCATTATTTACACTGTACAATAGATCACTGGAATCATCATCACTGCTACACTTGCCTTTATCATCCTAATATGATTCTTCCTTTGATCTGTAATCACTGTTACCTGCCTCCATTTATCCTCCTCTTACATCATGTTACCTCCATAATCAGCCTGCCACATTCTGTGCTATAAAATGGTGTTCACTCTAGTGGGGGCTTAGGCTGCATTTCTCCCATTCATTGCAAGGTCAAGCATTCAACTAACAAATTCCCACATGGAATAACTTATACTCAGAGACACCATGTGGCTGCAATAACAGAACCCTACCAGGCCTATCATGTAAATAGAAACAAATAAGTACATGTGTACTTCCATTTACCTCTTGGTACATCACCGACTTCAACATCGCAAGTACACACATAAAGATGATGAGCTTTCTCAGTCACAATCAGAATACCAGACGTCTTACCTAGTGTAGCTTGGACCTCTTGCACAGAGACCAAGGGTGGTTGAATGTAGGGCTGGCTTGGAGAGGTGTCCGTCTGACTGTTTGTGCTGAGTGTTGCAGTAGGAGTTGTGACAGACGTTGTGCTTGAGCTGGGTGATGTGCAAGAGGGGGAAGCTCCAGTGGATGGCTGTGCGGGGAGGAGGACCTTCTGCACTATTTTGTCACTTAGTGCTGAAAAATTATATCTTGTTAGTTTCTTTCATGAGAGGCACTAACAGTATACCAAACTGCAATTGTATAACACCAATAAGTTTGCAACACCAACACATGAAGGATTCTCTTGAGATTTTTGTTGAAGTTCTTATTTTGAAAATGATAATGGCCATACTATTTCAGATTTTGGTACTGGCCAACCGGTGTACAATAAATAAATAAATAATAACAAAAAAAATATATATAAATAAGTAAATAAAGGCCTTCACTTCTAAGGTGCATGCCAATTCTGGATCTAATGGTTATCATGTAATTAGATATGAGAACAAGATAACTTACACATGTCCTGTATATGGCCCTAAACACAACTGTAAAAGTAACTTGGCCAGAACTGTATGCATAAACATTGTATAAAAAAGGAGATACAAGTAAAGTTTTCAGAAAATGAATGGAAAACATCTCTTTCGGTTACCACTTCCTAAGAAGGATTAGAATCTCTATATATTTGTAACCAAAGAAAAAAATCTGGTAAAGCAACTACACTGAAAACACATTAATAGTTGGGTTGCTATCATCACCATAGAAACAAGCATATATATAAGCTGTCAATATTTCTTAAAAATAACACTAATCACCATTCTTGGAATCACAAGTTAAGGCACCATATTTACCAAAGGGGGAGATGAGGATCGTGTCTGTCTTCATGTTTGTAACAGACGGCAAGATTCCCCTGGTTAACAATGCAGTATAATTAACACCACCACTTAAAGGAGGCGTTACTGGTGCCGCTGCACTCTCTGCTATGCTATCTGTGACTGAGCCGCCAGATGACTTTTCAGGATCGGACAAATTCTTTACGTAATCTGAATCACCATTTTCAGGTCTGCTTCCCTCGAAGTCATCCTGCGAAATATGATGGTGATTTTAGGTAATATTATCTCTTGCACAATCAAAAAGGGCAAATTATTTTGTACTGTACAATGAAATTACACAATAATGTAAAATATTTCCAGATCTTTGATAAGACAAATTTTATTTAAATTAGTGAAAAAAAACTAAATAAAATATTTGATTTTTCTTACCTCCAAGTATTCCTCCATTTCTTCTTTGATATGGTTGTTCCCATTAACCAGCTTCCCTTTTGTTTTGTCTTTGCTGACTGTCTTTTTCTCCTTAGAGACTTTAGTACTTTCCTTGTCCTCTTCTTTCTCTTCTCTAAAAATGGAGTAAACCTTTAGTCCATGAAAAGAAAAATGGATAGAACTTCTCGCAACCTACTTTGAAAACCTCTGTTTTCTGTGACTTCCTTTCCTGTGTATTCATCAAGATCATAAAAAAACCACTCACCTATTTCATTCTTTCTAATTCAATTGATTTTTCATTGACTTCTTTTAAACATGACCAAATCACCTCCTCTTCCCATCTACCTATCATTTGTCAGTTTCTCTCTCTATCTCTGATTCCCTTTCCGAGTTTCTTTCTCTCTCTACATTAACGTCTCAACCTACCTGACATCAGTGGCAGGGTTGCTGGGGACAGGTGTGGCTGCTTGGCCTGCTTGCGTGGTGGGAGTCAAGCCATTGGTCACTACCGGGGGGGGACTTGAGTTGTCTTTTTTAGAAGAAACTGAATTTCTTCTACTCGTCTGTGATTCGTCCAAGGGCTCCTTGTTAGTGCAACTTGTCTCCTGAGTACTGCTGGAGTCTCTGCGTTGCCTCTTAGAGGCAGGCGGTGCATCGCTTTCGTATGAGGAATCTTTTTCACTCTCTGCCTCCTCCTTCTTTGATACATGGGTGCTTTCTGGTAACTTTGTTGCTTTCTCCTCTTCCTCTTCTTCTTCCTCATCATCTTCATAGTCTTCATCTGTGTCTTCTTCACCAGTTGCCTATCAAGCATTTGATTATCTCAGTGAAAACCAAAAAATATCTATTGTTCCTGAACTTTTAAATTAGAATATATAGTTTTCCATAAGGTAATCCTTTTAAATTTTGATTGTGAAATAATATAATAATAATAACTATATTCAAATACCAGATACAAGTTGCTATACACACAAATGATTTTGTCTTTATAGATTGTAAATTATATCAGGATATGCAGTAAAAAATCAGAAGCATCTTCCCATTCAAGGAAAAACTGTAGTGCACAGTGAGTGGATCTAATCACTGCCTACGGCAATGAAAAAGAATCTTATAGATCATACCTGTGTACTTGCTAATGCCATGGTAACATGAGTTAATCCAGTCACACTTAAGTTGGACGCAGCACTCAAAAGGTTTGGTAACTCTTCTTCCTCCACGACAACTTCTCCAC